ATGGATGATTTGTGAATTATTTAAAAGAGCAAATTATCTGACCTCGGGGCACCACGCTCTTAATTTGATCAAAGATTAACCCAGGAAAGAGACGACAACCTGTAACTTATTTTTAATCAAAAACATAATCAAAAACTAATAAATATTTGTCAGTTTGGTGATTTTTAAAAGAAAAATTTGTTCTTAATCTAAGAATGACTTATTTTATTGCATAGGTATGAAAGATTTTTTTATTCTGACCTGGGGAGTTAAATGTTGTAGGGGTTTTGGGTATATTCTAAAATGGATGATTTGTGAATTATTTAAATGTGCAAATTATCTTACCTCGAGGCACCACGTTCTTAATTTGGTCAAAAATTAACCCCGGAAAGAGACGAAAACCTGTAACTTTATTGTAATCAGTCTCACAATAAATGTACCCAAAATCGTTTGATGAGTTCTTGTCCTTATCAGAACCAATAATACTTTCATCAAGACACAAAAGTTACATTAATTTATGTTGGCACGTTCTCCACGGGCCATTTATTTACAGATTAAATGTATTCACAACTATGGTGAGTTAGAAGTGATGACATGTTGAACCAGGTAAAACTGAGTTTGCAATCACAAGTGAATAAACAAACAAACAAATAAAATTAATACTGAGAGGTGAGTTTGAGGTTTGGAGTGAGGTGAGGTGAGTTTTGCTTTTAGCTGAGGATTTAACTAAGGGGGTCCTAGTTAAATTAGGGAGAAAAATCATTTAGTTTACCAAATCTCATACAAAGATAAGAATCAAATTACGTCTGAGCACCTGTGTGTCACCAGGACAAATGTTCACTTTTACCCCTTTGTTCCGCCGTGTGGGTACCAGGAGGGGAAGTCAGTGATTGAAGGTCATCTCTGGGGTCATTTCCCAGGTAGGCTCTTCATACAAGCTGGATGTCAGGCGGTCTGCCTGTAAAACTCGACTGGTCCCGTGGTCAGAGAAGGGGGTCACTCCCTGGTGACGTCGTCGTCCGGTCCTCCCCAGGCGGCTGCAAGACTTAATTTAATTTAAACTTTGTAGAGAAAACAAACTAAAAATGACGCATGATTTACAATTAGCTTATTTAACTTCTATAAAATCAAACTCAGCTATTGAGTCGATATTAAACGGTAGCTGTTCGTTCAACCCAGCGGGAGATGCAGAAGGGCCACCATCCTGCCCAGCCCATGGAGAGGGGCTGGCAGGCAGGGTCTCTGCTGAGCTTCTGGAAACCTGTTTCTGGCTTCTGATGTTGAAAAGATCTCTTTCTCTCATGTCCGTCTTCTTCTGCTACTTCTTCTAAGAGATTGGGAGTGTGCTAAGCTTTTTAAAACCTCTGTTATGGGCGGGGTCATAGTTTTGGTTGGCCAATAAAAATGTTACACTTTATACAGGAAAAGTTTTTTAACAAATCAAATCTGTTTTGGAGGGAAAACTTTACTTCAGGACAAAGAAAAAGGGAGTGTTTTAGTTTAATTACAGTATCTTGCATCTGATTAAAGGGAGAGACATCTGCTTGCCTCAGTAAAATGAGTGTCACACTTAATTATTAAAATTCAAGTCTTAAGTTTCTAAGGATTAAATCAAGGAATAAAACACACATCTTCTTCAGGAAAACATTTCATCAAAACAATTAACACCACAATACGCACAGCTATTGAATGGTTAACTAAGCAAAACTTAGTAGATCCTTTATGGTCTTTTTAGTTCTTTTCTGTAAGAAAAATGGATTATATGACATTCTTTGCAATAAGACAGTAAACATTAGATACACTGATTCCTTTATCTTTTCTCCTTTTATTAACATTTAATGAAGAATGTAGGTCCTTTGTTCCCAGTCAAGCCAAAGAGTCTGGTTAAAGGCATTTATGATCCCTTTGAAGAGGAACCAACAGACAGTCCTGTGCTTACAGGGGATGGAAGCAACAGGAATGTGGCAATTCTTATCTATTAACAGTAAAGCATCAGGACGTCTGGTGGGGGTTTGTGTAAGAGATGTTAATTCGAGCCACAAAGGGAGTTCCATGCAAAAATCTTTAGAAAATAGTCTGAAGTCAAAGTGGGGTTTTTCGTCCTTCCTGAGCCGTTGTCATAGGAACAAGTGAAATCTAATCAGAAATGATTATTTATATGCAGGAAAATGCTACAATGTCTATCCTGTGGAGCTGCGTTGGGAACAAAGTTGGTTCCTGTGGAGAAAAATAAAGGACATGTTAAAGCAAAAAACTGGTTTTGTGAAGAAAAGAAAAAAATCAACTTATATTAGAGAAGTAATTGAGTTTAATTAACAAATTGGGGTAATAGATGATAAAATGAGTCTTTACTTGAAATCTTTTGAATAATTTATACAAAACAAGCTTCAGATTAAAACTGATGAAAAGTTTGTTCTGATTCCTCTTAAGTTAATTACTATAAGCAATCACATATGTCCATCATGTGTTTGTAAATAAAACTACCTCCAAAGTGAACTGGTCCAAAGTTTAAACTGGGGACCACACTGGGCTGCTCTGTGATAACTTCTTGTCTGTTAGTAGGTTGTGGTCTCACTGTAGAAAATGAAACAATAAAAAAGTTGTCACCTTCTTAAAAACCATCAGTTTGGTTGAAGCCTTTACATTAACATACAATAAGAGCTGTTACCAGAGCTCTGCTGTGGCTCCTTCTGCCTGCGCCTGACGCTGGGTTTTGATGGATCCTTGCAAAAGCCGTTTTGTCTTTGCAGAGTCGTGATTCGGTTTCTGACGTAGTCCTTCACGCCTTTCCAAGTACGGTTCCTCAGAGCGTGTGGCTCAGCCTCGAGGCAACGAACGCAGTCGTCTTTCTGAGGCAGCTTGTACTCTTTAATAAGATGCATCAGGTGTTTCTCCACGGCATGAACCTCTGCCTCACTCCATTTAGGTTTGGGTTTGTGTTGTGTGCCTGTAATGAAGAGAAAAAGAAGAATAATTAAGATTAAAACAATTTATGTGATTATTTCATAAAATCAGCAGTTCATCCTTAGAAATCAAAGATTCTGTTCATGTTAATCATTTGCATCTTTACTTTGTCATGGATCCAGACATTAAAATTTGTCTTTAAGCCGGGTTCCCACCAAACACATTTTGAGCAGCAAAAATGCTCCCAACTCCTCAACTTGGATGCACTGAAACAAGTTCGGTGTGAACGCAGCAGCAGACTAGATGCGCGCCTGAAGAGGAAGGAGTGTCTTGGCTTTTTCCGGTCTGTCTTTAATGACGGGTGAAATAAAGATAAAATAAAAAAATGGCTTTGCTTTATTTACTAAAGAGCAAGCAAACATTGTGCGCAGTAGATAATTAATTCACCAGATAATTTGAGGCGGTTTGTTCAGTTTCACCACTCCAGGAGCTGCGAGCTGACAAAATTTTATTTTATTTTTTTGTCCGGAGCCCAGTTTAACACTGCAGTCAGTTTAACAAGCCGCTGACCCACATTGGTGCTGATATCTCCAGCCAGAACACCAACTGCAGACGGTCGATTTCAGCTAAAGAGCTGCTGTCCATCTGTTTCGGGTTCAGGAAACTGTCACGTGGAAAAATTATTCTCTCTGATTGGTTGCTGCGGCGCGTCAAGCAGCAAAAGTTACATTTTTTAAACTCGAGCAGCGGCTGCTTTGGACGCGGCTAGGGTTGGGTATTGAAAGGATTTAAATCGATACTGGTGGTAAATCGGTACTTTGAAATTGTACTGTTTCCTAAACGGTATTTAAATCGGTACTTTAAAAATAAATAAACACACACACTCACACATAGGTTTATGAAGCAATGACTATTTCTGAGGCAAAGTCAAACTTGAAATTGACCAACATATTAACTTAAAACCATTAATAATTTGCCTTTGCAACAAATATTCTTAAAGCATCTGTTGTAGGTGGAAGTTTCTGCATCTTACTTTGTAAAGTGACACCACACTTTGGACCGTTTTGCTTTCAACATCTCAACTATAATATATAATATATATGTAACTGTTAACTGCAGCGGCACCTGTTCAGCCCCTCGCCATGAACTCGGTTCTACTCGATTCACTTTGGGTCAGGTCAGTTTTGCTCAGTGTCTGTGTGTCTCCACGCAGTGTGTCCCTCACTATGTGGGTGTGATAATGTGTGGACCGTCCGCAGCAGCTTCAACTGTTGTGTTAAAAAAATAAAATAAAATTTAAAAAGCCGTTGTGGTCTTTCCATTCGGACTTCACTACTTCCACTTACTTGCTCGCTCGCTCGCTCACTCACTCACTCACTCACTCACTCACTCACTCACTCATTCATCGGTTTGGCTAAGTGCTTGTGTAACGGTGCGCGGCCAGTTTGTTCGAAACCTCCCATGATCTGCACAGTTTCCTCTCCTTCACCTCTCTCCAGGAAGTGTTTACAAGTTCTGCCTTACCAAAAAGGCAGTTTTATCACTGCTTTCACCATTTCGTCGTATCGCACTGCGCGCTCGTATTCCTAAACAAAAGCAGTTCTCTCAAGGAGGAAATTTGCTGTCAGTCAATCCAAGTGTTAATCCACGGGCAGAATTCTGCTGACGTTAAAATCATAAGTGTGCTGTCCTCGCTTCTACCCGAACCACCGGAGAGGAAGTTCTGAGATAGCACGACTGTGGAGCGCGCTAGAAGACACGCATTGGGCCGAGACCGAGCCAACCCGCATCCGTGGAGATTGTGTGCCGAGGCTGTCCCTGTTAACAGTGAACACCAGAGGGTGCAAATTAACATCTTTCTTTGAGGCAGCGAAATAAAGCACCGAAGTTAGAGTTGTGTTTCGTTCTGTGTACTACCGTGGATGTTCACCCCGGTGCCATACTGGAAACGAGTTTCAGTACCCAACCCTAGCTATATCCACCCTGAAGGTTAATTTTGGACAATATCAGATGATTGGCTCTTTTAAATCAAAACAGAGAGCGTTGACAGAGAAGAGAAGGTAGAAATTACTCAGCCTGTAACTGAAAATATAGATGGAGGACAACAGAGTTGCTTCGTGGAAGAAGAACCTCAGCTTAGCCTGTTAGCTTTAGCTTTATCCCTGACGCTATCACCATATTAGCTCAGCGCTACACATTCTCCTCTCGTCACTGAGGTCCTCCATCCACATGACAGAGAGGGGAACGCAAAAATGACTCAGCCTGCAACTGAAAATATGGATGGAGGATCTCAGTTTACCTTGTTTGTCGCGCTAGCGCCGAGCTAATACATATAAGGCAATATAGCATCAGCGCTAGCACAAAGMCTAACAGGCTAAGCTGAGGTTCTTCTTCCATGAAGCAGCTCTGTTGTCCTCCATCCATATTTTCAGTTCCAGGCTGAGTCATTTCTACCTTCTCCTCTCTGTCAACGCTCTCTGCTTTCATTTAAAAGAGTCGATCATCCGATATTGTCCAAGCTTAACCTTCAGGGTAGGGCTGCACGGTATAAGCGGTAGGAGGTAGAAACGGTATGAAATTGACCTATGGTAAGAGATTTTCCCTCTACCGTCCTATCGTCAGTTATGTCATCGCACCAGCGTCAACGTGGCAGTGAGTGCAGCGACAACAGAGCAGGAGGAGTTGGTAGAAAAAGTTGGTGCTACGTCAGTGATTTGGACTTGGTTCAGATTTTAAAAATCGGATATTGAACAGAAAACAGTACTTTGCAAGATATGTCGAGTGATGGTAACGGCAAACAAAGGTAATACAAGCAATTTGGTTTACCACTTGAAGACGAAGCATGCGCTTGAATATGCCGAGAGCCAGAGGCTGCGCTCAGCTCAAACACCTGCACGGCCAGGCAGCACAGGAGGAGGAACCACAAAAGTGTCCCCCACTACACAACAGCAGACCTCAATTGCACAAGCTTTTTCAAAGGGTACGGTTTATGATCAATAGAGCAAGCGATGGGCTCTTGTGCAAAGATATGGTCCCTTTCCGAACAGTGGAGCGCAGTGGGTTTATAGATGGTTAAAACCCTTGATCCACGTTATGAACCTCCGAGCCCCAAGTATTTCTGCGAAACAGAAATGCCCAAACTATATTGCCAGCTCCGAGAGAAAGTTGAGAAAGAGCTTTGTGACTTTAAATATTATGCAACAACTACGGACTTGTGGTCGAGTCGCACTGTGGAGCGTTATATCAGCCTCACAGTTCATTACATTACGGATGAGTGGAAACTGGCCAGTAGGTGCTTGCAGACTTCGTATTTCCCTGATGACCATACGGGCGAGACAATAGCAGAAGGATTAAAGGATGTGTTGGGAGTCGTGGGGCCTCAAGGAACGATCTCAAGTGTGCATTACCACAGACAACGGCACAAATGTGGTGAAGGCAGTGGCGCTGAATGACTGGAGAAGACTGCAGTGCTTTGGGCACAGGCTACATCTCGCCATTGGTAGGTGAAAAATGTAACAAACTATAATTTGCATTTCCAAAACGTGTGTGCGCGCCAATTTATTTATTTTATCTGCTTTAAGTGATGTCTAAAGACAAGAAATTACATATAGCCAAATAATATGGACATTGATGAATAACATTTTTAATTTCACAATTTTACAATGTAAAATTATTCAGATGGTGGATTAATTTAATTTGGCTTGAAACTGAAAATAAGTCCATTACCTGCTAAGGACCATGTGCACGCTTAAGCCCCTTCAGGCCCCGTCACACTATAACATTTTAGGCAATGTCATGGCACAGTTTCGCCAGGGCAGAGATGGGGGAAATAAACGAAGTGGAAACTGTGTGGTCTCGGTCTCAGACTATTTAATAGAAGGATGCATGTGCAGAGAATGAGCAGAGCCGGACAGACGTGAATCGAAACGTCTGTCAAGCTCACGCTGACCCGGAAACAGGAAACAGACAATATATACATCCTGCTAACAAAATAAGAGCGTCAGAGATACCCAGGAACCAATGACATAATTACAAGTAAATGGGCCATAAGATTACATGAGTACATACAGTATCTAAAGAATCATGAGAAACAGATTATATAATGACAAGTTATCAAGAGATAAAGAACAGGACATGTCAAAGTAATGCAGTTAGGAAGTCAGAAGATATTCTTCCATCACAGGCAATTTATGCTAACTTAGAATTTTTTTTGTGTGTCTAAATTACTAATGTAAGTTATATTTGATAAATTTGTTAACATTACAGTATGTACCTTCCAGTTGATTTTATTAATTCCATCTCCAACATAGATGTCTTTTGAAATTTTCACAAGTTGGCATAAGTTGTCTAAAAACATTAGGGAGTGATGTTTCCCAGTACAATCAACAGTTAAAATAGAATTTAAAGCTCATGTCATGTCTTTGGATTCTGAGCAGTCTGCCTCATCAAAATTTCATTATTGTAACACATAACAATTAATCTTAACAATTAATCTTCTTGATTCTTCTGTTAGCAGATAACTGTATAGTATTTATATGTTTTGATGGAACAGATGTTTGATGGTCTGTGGATGAAATTTAAGTAACTTTTCTTTGTTTACAGAGAGAAGTGTGAAGGATCCTCGTGTGGAACGAGCAGATGGTGTGTGTAAAAGGACTGTGAGTGCCTTTTCATACACATGGAAAAGGAAGAGGGAATTGGCTGCTGCCCAGGCTGACCTGCACCTGCCTCCTCACAGGCTCATCACTGAAACACCAACGAGGTGGGGGTCACGACAACTTATGATAGAGCGGGTTCTTGAACAGGAGAAGGCCATATCACAGGTCCTAACAGGAGATAAAAAGACCAGATATCTGGTACCTACTTGGCAGGACATTGATGTTTGGGAATCTGTCAACAAGACCCTCAGCCCTCTCATGGAGTTCACAGATGCACTGTCTGGGGAGGAGTATGTCAGTGTGTCATATCTCAAACCTGTCCATCTGCTGAACAACACAGTTCTCCTCACTGTGATGGAGACACAAACCTGACAAAACACATGAAGATGACTATCCTCCAGTATCTTAATGAGAAGTACTCTGACCAATGATCTGCTGGACATAGCCTCATTTGTTGATCCACGCTTCAAAGACTCATACATAACAGATGACAGGAAGGACTACATCAAGACCAGAGCAGCAGCAGAAATTCAAGAACTGCTACAGATGGAAGCTGCACATACCACAGAGTCACCCCCACAAACAAGCACTGCAGCTACTGGTGAATCTGAGCAGACAGAAGCCAAGAAGATGAAACGAAGATCTCAGCCTTGCCCAGCTGCTTTGTCTGACAGAGATGCCATTGAAGTGGAGATAAAAGGCTACCTGCAGTCATTGGAGGTTGACGAAGAAACTAACCCACTAGAATGGTGGAGGCTGCACCAAGCTAATTTCCCAAGGGTAGCAAACCTTGCAAAGAAATATCTTTGCATCCCTGCCACAAGTGCTCCAACAGGAAAGGTATTTAGCACTTGTGGCAACATAATCATGTGCCACCAGTCCGCCTTGAAGCCTGAAAATATGGACGAGCTTATGTTCCTGGCAAACAACCTGTAAAAAAAGGTTAGGAACATGGGAAGCAAGTGAACTGGAAAAAATAATAAAGCTCGGCGTTTGTTTTCGCAGTGTTTTTTTTTTTTTTGTTAGTTTTGTTTGGTGTTTATTTTTTACAAATTTTTCTTAGTGAACAGTGAAAGTGTTTCTTCTTGATAATATTATCCAGTGACACTTTTACACCACAGAACAAAACCTTTTCTGTATACTTATTTATATTATCTATTTTTTGTGTGAGTTCTTTAAGAAGTTAAAAAGCTGTGTTGATAACCTTTGCACTATTTTGGAAAAAAACGCAAGCAAACAAAGTTAAGTGTTTTATTTGAAATATATTGCCTTGTGTTTATTCACTAAAAATATGTACAGTATTGTGTAAGGTTTCTCTTAAAATATCTGCAGCAGCTGCAACCTGAAAAGTTTAGTATTCAGTGGCAGTTTAACACTACAGAAGAAAAGCCTGTTCTGTGTACTTGAAATAGTTATTTCAGTTATTTAAGTTAAAAATTTAAGTTGATAACCTTTGCACTATTTTTGAAAAAAAAATGTTAGCAAACAAAGTTCAGTGTTTTATTTGAAATATATTGCCTTTTGTTTCTTCACTAAAAATATGTAAAGTGTTATGGAAGAGTTTCTCTTAAAATATTTGCAGCAGCTGAAACCTGAAAAGTTTAGTATTCAGTGGAAGTTTAACACTACAGAAGAAAAGCCATTTCTGTGTACTTGAAATAGTTATTTAGAATACCAATTTTATTTCTGTGTTAAAGATGCAGAAATTTTAGTGTTTAGTAACTTTTGTACCATTTTGGATATCAGAACCTTTTGCCAGTTTTTTGCCAATTGTCTTACAGACAATATTTTACTTGAAGTACTGGTAAAGACATCCTCCACTTTATTTTGATTTTGCTAAAAATTTGAGAAATGTTTTTGTTTGTTGAAACTGTTTTGCAATAAAAAATAAAACATTTTTTGTACTTCTGTTATGTTCATTTGCACTACAGGAAAGTTGCTGGATTTGATTAGGATTAGTTTTTTTGCTAAAGAAATGCTCTAAAAATGACATTATTTTTGCTTTTTATGATTTTATACCGCGATATATACCGTTACCGTGATAGGATTAAATTTATACCATAATATAAATTTGAGGTCATACCACCCAGACCTACTTCAGGGTGGATATAGCTTGCTAACACAGATGACCTATCCACGTCATCATTTACCCAGAATGCTTTGCGTGTAAATAAAATGGCTCAGTCCATGTTAAAATATATTTTAAAGAATTCACAAAACTGAACAGCCTACAGTATTTTTAGTCTTTATTTTACAGTTGAAATAAAGTTTTATCAAATAAAGTAAAATGTTACAACTAATCGTGGATCCCATTAACAAATAACCATCCGTTGTTCCAAATTTTTTGTATAACCTGTTCTGATTGTCTTTTGATTTCCCTCTGATTGTACAGCACCTTGTGAATCTTTTTCTATGAAAGGTGCTATACAAATAAAACTTTACTTTACTTACTATATCCTTCCAAATGCACTTAAAACCTGTCCAAACAAGCTATAAATCTATTAAATTACACACTAACAAACAATAATTACCTCCAGATTCCATGTCAGTATCGTCACAGGTCATGAGTTTATTTTCATCGCGCCGATGAACAGTCTCCGTGGCGTGACGAGGACGTTTCACATCTCCAACGACTGCCTCGTACTTTTTACTTTTACTGA